TGTAAACCGAAAATGCACTCAAACAAAATAATGACATTCCAATAACAATCCAGTGGAGACATTCATACAATGACGTGATTTAGATCCCCAAAAACAATCACGGATTCAATTTGAACATATATCAAGAGACATAGAACACTAACCTCGAGTAAACACGAAAACGATTTCAAACTCGAATCCAATCGGGGAGAAATGTCAAATTCGTAAAATGAGACACAATGTTGATGTTCTTCACTGCCAAAATGATCGAAAATGGTGTGGAAAGGTAGCTATCGTTGTCGTTTTCATTGTCGTTCTAAAAAACCCTTGCGGCGCGAGATGCGGGAATGGGTATGGAAGAGAATAAAAAGAACTTTTTACGTCGCACACCCTAGTACGTGACGTAAAAAACCTCTTTTACGTCGCGCACCCCCATGTGACGTAAAAAGTGATATTTTTTACGTCGCGCACCCCCCACGTGACTTAAAAAGCTCTCTTTTACGTCGCATTGTACCAGGTGCAACGTAAAAGAGGTTTTTAACGTCACCTCCTACAATATGCGACGTAAAAGTTTTACCTCTTATTTACAAAATTGCCACCGTGTTTTATTTACGTCGAATATTTTGACATGCGACGACAATTGGGTGACGTAAAATGTCATTTTTGCACTAGTGATCGTAAATTTTTTGCATTGAAAAAACTAACTTTCATTGCAAAACTATTGGACTTTCCGTCTTTCGATCCAAAAAGACCATAAGAAAGATATGCATAGTTAAAGCTAAATGAAAATTATCAAGAAGCTATCAATTCTAATCTTAGGTGACTTTCTGTTTCTGGTGGAATTTTGATTAATTTTGATTTCTAGGGAATTTTGTTCTAACCAAATTTCAACCACGTAGATTCTTTTTACTTAGGCTAGCAAACGGTTTTCAATCAAAATATGCATGAGAATTGAAAATACCCCGATATCGAAAACACTAAACATGTGCAGATTAACAGTCAAAAGGGCTATTTTTGGTATTTTATTTTTTGAAGTACTCGAAGTAAGGAAAACAGTAAAATGACAAATCGAAAAGCAGTACCGAATGTAAAACTGCGAAGGAATGTAAAATGCGAAAACCTCAAATTTGCGTTAAGTGTAAACGACAAAAGCATCGAAATTACGGAAATATAAATAACAAGAAATCGAAATTACAGAAATGTAGATGACAAGGAATTTAAACGCGGAAACTTAACTTTCATTAAAGGGAAATGACAAGGAATCGAAAATACAGAAACTTAAAGTTGCTAAAGATAAATTGCATCAAAGTAAATTACCAGGGAAAATAAAGGAAACGGTAAAGGAAATCAATGAACATGGAAATCCAGATCGCCAGGAACTTCATGATGTTCATCGTTCTCCGGTAGACTTCTCACTAATATTCCTGCTCTCTCTGCCAATTTCCACCCCCCCTTTCTTCCTCAAGCTTTGCTCTATTTATAGGGCGCCCTTCAGATAATCCTCCTAAGAGCAGTTAACAAAGCTGCCACCACGACCCATCATGCACGTCTTTCAGTTCCACGGTTTAAAAACTGTATTTCACGTTCCCATGCATGAGATAACCGCTCCCTTGACCTTCGTTCTCTGCCACGGTTTAGAAACCGCTTCCCATGTTCTATGTGCGCGTTAACTGTTCCTCTCTTTCTAACTTAGCCAGAATTCTGATGGCCGTGCATGTTAACTTTTCCCTCGATTTTCTTCAACAATAGACATTAAATATTCCTCCTTCGATTCTCGATTCTAATTCTCGATTTATATGTCCATACTGTTACATGGTCATCGAATATTTTCCAATCATCTTTTCACTTTATCAGTTTTTCTGATTTCTCGATTTCATTCACTAACGGATATTAAACATTCTTCCTTTGATTCTCGATTCTAATTCTCGCTTATATTGTCACATGGTCGTCGAACGTATTTTCCGACTATCATTCGATTTATCAGTCTTTAATTCAATCAAAATGGTTCTCGATTTTTGCTCTCATTTGTTTCTCGATCCCTTTATCGATTTCCCAACAACAAAATTCCCCCTTGGAAGAATATAAATAGTTTCTGTTTATATTCTTTCAACATGATTCCCGCCTTCGCGTGTTGGGGGCCCATAATAACTTAGGTTTTGGGGTTTTTTGGGGTTTTTAGGGTTTTAGGGTTTCTGGGGTTTTTCAGGGTTTTAGGGTGTCTGGGGGTTTTCAGGGTTTTAGGGTTTCTTTCTGCTTTATGTCACCATCACGTCAGTCTGCTGCCTTACTGTACACGCCACATTAATTGCCCTTCGCTCCTTTAAACACTTTGTTAGTCTTCAAACCAACAACAAGTTGTTGGGAAATCGATAAAGGGATCGAGAAACAAATGGGAGCAAAAATCGAGAACCATTTTGATTGAATTAAAGACTGATAAATCGAATGATAGTTGGAAAATACGTTCGACGACCATGTGACAATATAAGCGAGAATTAGAATCGAGAATCAAAGGAAGAATGTTTAATATCCGTTAGTGAATGAAATCGAGAAATCAGAAAAACTGATAAAGTGAAAAGATGATTGGAAAATATTCGATGACCATGTAACAATATGGACATATAAATCGAGAATTAGAATCGAGAATCGAAGGAGGAATATTTAATGTCTATTGTTGAAGAAAATCGAGGGAAAAGTTAACATGCACGACCATCGAAATTCTGGCTAAGTTAGAAAGAGAGGAACAGTTAACGCGCACATAGAACATGGGAAGCGGTTTCTAAACCGTGGCAGAGAACGAAGGTCAAGGGAGCGGTTATCTCATGCATGGGAACGTGAAATACAGTTTTTAAACCGTGGAACTGAAAGACGTGCATGATGAGTCGTGGTGGCAGCTTTGTTAACTGCTCTTAGGAGGATTATCTGAAGGACGCCCTATAAATAGAGCAAAGCTTGAGGAAGAAAGGGGGGGTGGAAATTGGCAGAGAGAGCAGGAATATTAGTGAGAAGTCTACCGAAGAATGACGAACATCATGAAGTTCCTGGCGATCTGGATTTCCATGTTCATTGATTTCCTTTACTGTTTCCTTTATTTTCCCTGGTAATTTACTTTGATGCAATTTATCTTTAGCAACTTTAAGTTTCTGTATTTTCGATTCCTTGTCATTTCCCTTTAATGAAAGTTACCGCGTTTAAATTCTTTGTCATCTACATTTCTGTAATTTCGATTTCTTGTTATTTATATTTCCGTAATTTCGATGCTTTTGTCGTTTACACTTAACGCAAATTTGAGGTTTCTGCATTTTACATTCCTTCGCAGTTTTACATTCGGTACTGCTTTTCGATTTGTCATTTTACTGTTTTCCTTACTTCGAGTACTTCAAAAAACAAAATACCAAAAATAGCCCTTTCGACTGTTAATCTGCACATGTTCAATGTTTTCGATATCGGGGTATTTTCAATTCTCATGCATATTTCGATTGAAAACCGTTTGCTAGCCTAAGTAAAAAGAATCTACGTGGTTGAAATTTGGTTAGAACAAAATTCCCTAGAAATCGAAATTAATCAAAATTCCACCAGAAACACTTTCATAATAATTAAACAAGAAATAAAATTATTATTATTATTAACAACTTGTTTGCATAATTATCATCATTAAAAACATTGAATATGTAATAAAATATTCAAAACAATTAAATAAATCGAAATTTTAAAATAGTTAGTATTGGTAATCTTATATTTTCATAATAACTAGATAAAGAGGAACAACCTTTTTGCTGTTATACTTTTTAGAAAAAATTACTTAATTTTGATGATGTCATGAAGTCTATTATTAATTTGTCAATGATATAAGACATGTGAAACTCACACGAAACATGAAGTTTGACTTGACAAAACTTATAAATTACGCATACTTGATCAATATATTTATAATTTTTTTACATCGTATCACCAATTTATGTCAATGACTCATATTTTATATTTCTTTTATCTCTCAAAGTGTAAATATCCAAGGAGTATTGATGATCATTGTCATTTTTTTTTAATTAATTTTTTTCATATATATTAGAAGTATATCAAGTGGGTACCTAGGCTTTAAAAAAGATAAAGTTATTGGAAGCTTTATATTTCAAACCAAACAAAAAGTGTGAATAACATTTAGGAAAAGAGAAACACTTTACTGAATGTGTTGAATAAGGATGTGCAAGCTGCTCTCGAGTGTATTTTTCAGTACCAACAAAAATGAATCCCACTAGCGTGGGAGAAATTATGTCTTTTAAAAAAAGGTGTTTCTTTCCTGTAAAAATAATCTTTATACACAAATATTTGTTACTGTATATAAGTCCAAATAAGTTCTTAAAATGTGTAGAAAAAGTTTATCTTCATCTTTCGATGACCCTTTTAGTCTTGCTATAAGAATAATGACAAATTTGACTTATTTACGTCTTAATTATATAGTTCAGCTACTCTGCAGCAAAGTTGTGCAGCACTTAGCAAGGTCAACTTTTCTACATATACATACATAAATAAATAATTGTGTACTCCGTCACACCAATCTAGCTAGTTAATTGTATTTATCAGTCTGATAAAGTAAATTTTAAAGAAAGATTGAGTTTAATTTCGTAAGATAAGTGATGCGATTGTTTAATTATATGAAATGAACCCATGAATACCAAATATAGCATGACTTTGCTGCAAAACTATTTTGTATTGGTTAGCACCCACGTTTCAACTCAACTTCACATTAAGCAAATAAAAACACTTAAGATTCATTTGTTTAATTCCACCAAGATTTTCTTTCCCACACGAGTCAATATAAAATCTGCGACTCTAATAAATTTGAGTAATTAGATTCAATGGTCTAGAAATTCCGAGTTGAAATCCAAAGACGCTGAACACTTGGAATTTCAAAAGATACACTGATACAAAATAAAGTTTCTGCGATGCAATCCAATCTAAAGCCTTTGGATCAAGTCCAACATAAAAGGAACCCCTTTAGTTTATTTAGCAGGGACTTTCTGATATCACCAACACTCGTAGAACTTGATGTCGACACGAAGCCGAAAATAAACCTCGCCTTCGAATGAATCGGTCATAATGGTGGCAATTCCTCTATGCATAAAGAACTGGCCAGTGCCACCTGTCACCGAGATATCTCTTGTCTTCTGCATGATGGGGTCAGCTCCAGCGAAAGTGATGGTTCCCTGATACTCGGTGCTGTTAAGGGCAAACGTAAATCCTAGCCACGAAGTGTAAGTGTTCTTGGTGTCATAGATGTAGAAGCCTTGAGCCCTTCCCACTGGTTTGGAGTGAAGGTTGTTGTCCAATGTGATTGGGTCATCGAAAACCACTATGTTTCCAAAGTGGAACTGGCTCGCCAATTTGGTTAAGTTAGCACCTTCTGGGGCTGCTACTATTGCGGAAGTTGCATTGGCTGCATTGTTTCCATTGTACAAGATGTCGTGGAAGAAGAGGACCAAGTTTTTGCATGGTGTATATTGCCTCCTCTTGACGGCTGAACATGAAGCAAGGAGCATAATGAAAATGATGAGAGACACTTTAGCACCCATTATTTCCTAGGAAAAGTTAAAGAAGAGGGAGAGAACCATACAAGAGTATACTATAGCCAAGAAGGGACTTGGTGTGAGGTTCTTACTTGGTTCTAGTGTCCCTTTATAAGAACTGGTCATAGCAATTTCTTGAAAACAAATGATACGAACTAGGAAGAAAATTAATAACTGTAGAAGAGGAAAAGGATATTAGTTTGTAGTTTTGTATATACAGTATCTATCACGTAATAAGACTTTTTTGGTCATGTTAAACCATACATTGTACTTTAAACTAGGGTTACATTTTATAACTTGTTAATGTACTGTAATTAAGAAATAAATACTTTAACAAATACAACATATCTATCACTAGAAAACGAATTTTGAGCAAAAAATTTCAAGTTATATATTATGATCTTTTCATGTTAAAGGTTTCTGATTGTGACTGTTACTTCTCTGTTAAGGTATATTAAACAGGGTTAGCTTGAAGCACGTTTTCAAAATTTTGGAAAATCATTATTTTAAAGTACCTTTTTTATTATTATTTTATCTGTAAACAAACAATCTCAATAGTAATTAATCTCAGTCTAGCAAAGAAAATCACATAACAATTTAATTAGTCTTGTTGTTCCTTAATCTTTAGGCCATTACCGAATATTAATAATTACGAGACTGATTTTATATTGAGAATGCTAATTAAATATAGTATATCTACAATATATATAACTCTTACCACAAGTAAGTTTACATAAAATTCCTAATTACTCTGCACACATCCAAACACTGTCTAGTTCCATTTATTCGTCAAATTATTAATACAATAGCAATGGCTGAAAGGAATATAGAATACAAACAAGTAGGTTAAACCAGAGCTTATTCCACATCTTATTCCTCAATAACATTTACATTCATCTGTAGCTTTCGATGTTAATGGCTGAAAGGACCACACAAAGTTATATCTTAATTCCATTCAATTATATATATTTGTAACTTAAATGAATTATATATACTTTGCTAATGATTTATCTTTCTACCATTTTACCTTAAAAAAGTAATATATTTACGATGTTAAAAATATAAAATATATTTATTATATACAAAATAGAAGAAGAAAAAAAATGTAAAATTATTCGTTACTAATTTATTTTGTTCCTCTGTAATTCCTTGTTGGCAAACAATAACTTATGGGTGGTAGGTGGAGGTTGGTATATCTTGAATTTAGTGGCAAAAATAAAGTGGTCGTACTAAGGGTTGGTGAGTGGTATACTTCTCGGTCATGGCAAATTCCACACAAGCATAGCACCACATAACAGTGGTCCCGTTTCTAAATCGATATTCTTGTTCGGCTTCATCTACCTCCAATTATACGTTAACCAATCTTTAAAAGGGATTAGTAGGTGCCAATGTATTGGTTTCATTTTGGGATCTGGTAGGGTTAATTTATTTTTAAATTCAATAAATGTCATGGGGATTTTATAAATGTATTTCTTTCATGATATTTTTTTTTTTTAAATCTTGGAATGTCATAAAATATATTTTCTTCTTTATACAAACTTGTTACTCGCACTTTTCTTATACAACAGGGTTAAAGAGACTAAGGTGGTATTGCATCCCAAAAAAAGAAGCCAACTTGCACCATCCCTTATTCACTATACATTTTTTTTTATTCAACCCTTAATTTTCATTGTTCTCAGTCTCTTCAAAGTTAAATAGATGACAAGATAATTTACACTATAATTTTTTTATTGATCACGATGTCGTCTGCGTAAAAAATAAGTACGGGTGAAAAAAATAATAATAACAAGAAAAAAAAATATATATATATATATATTATATTTTAAAATGAGAGGATTCCAACGTCTATTTTGAAATTTTTATCGTCGTTGTTTTTGAAAAACACTTTTTGAAACTTATTCCTAAAACTCATTAATATATGATTCCAATCGCAAGATTAATTATATAAGTCAAAATAATATAAACGAATAAATTTAAACTTTACTTTTGTACACAAATAATCTAAGAAATTTATATAATTATAATAGTAAATTATGTTAAGAATAACTTTAAGATAATTATTATAAAAGTAAACAAATTCTTCAAAGTTTAACTTAAAAAAAATGTATTGAAAAACTATTAATGAAATAAAGTTTCCATTTTTCATACGAAAAAGTTACTTTTTGATTAGGACCAGAATAATATTATAGAACTAAAGGCTCTTCATTGACATAGTCTGTGTAACGTGAAAGCAATTAAAAAAAGTTCTCTATTATTGAGTGATTTTTTTTCTACAATCATAGAAAAAATAATTATCAAAATAGATATATTGAAAAAAATATTGATTTATTTTAAACATTAAATTAAAAAAAAGAAAGATGAATAATGAATATCCGTTCTTATTTTTAGTATATATATATATATATATATATATATATATATATATATATAATTTTCATAAAGTCTAATTTTAATGAATATATTTTTTATAATATTTTAATATTACAATATTCACTATAAAGGAACATTTAGTGTTTTCAATAAATAAATTTTTCTTCAACGTGGTTGACCTAAAAGGTTGAGATATGCGATATGAAATCGGTGACTTCAGTGACTTTGGTGAACAATAAAAAGTGGAATATAAGTATGAATGAATGGTTGAATTAATAATCTTAACTTAAATTATACAAACATTTTATTCCGAATGGGTTGAAATATAAAAGAAGATGATATAGTGCTTATTATTATTATTATTATTATTATTGTTTTTTTTTTTTTTAATTTACAAGAAAAAACATATTACTTCTAAACTATAAATTATAAATATTACTATAATAAAAAAAGTAGTGAATTTTTCTGAATCACAATACTATTTTGGTTTAGTATAATATTTTGTGAAAAGTATGTCAATTGTTGACTTAGATTTGTCTAATTTTTTTATATAAATTTTATAAGAAAAATAATAATTAAAAATATAAATTAAATAGGTTCAATAATGTTAAGTCAACATTTTATAAAATTATTCTAATCCATTTATTTAAGGAGTTTTTTATTTTTTTTACTAAAAATCAAGAGTGCAATCTAATTTTATTAGACTAAAAATATATATATTATTTATGACGATCAAAATTATAATTTTTAAAAGTTAAAAATTACTACAATGACGATTAACATTACATTAGTCAGAAGCGATTTGACAAAATTTTTAAATACTAGTATTTATGTAAAAAAAATTTTACTAATGATTAAAAACTGTAACAAAATATATTTATATTCTCATCTTTATTTAATATTTTCTTATGGTTTCAAATCGTTATAAAATTTATTCTTATCTATAATTATTTATTGTGTTTTGACAATTAAAAATCACTACAAATTTTATACTATTTTATAATCATTTAAAATTATTAAAAATTTAAAAAACTTCACAGCTAATTTAACAAATGAACTCAATTTATCATCTTCAAATTAGTCAGCTTTCATTGTCTTAATAGATTGACACAATCTTGAAAAATGACAAAAATAAAGATAATGTGTAGTAAAAAGTTGTGTGTGAATAATAAGTAAAAAAAAAATAAAGGATTATATTGAGTTTTGATTGCACTCTTCATTCATGGTCAAACCTCATTATTGTCCTCTCATGCCTCCATCTATTAGATATTCTATCCATTAAATATGGTGACAATAGGTTGATTAAGAATATTACCACTTAATCATGATTTTCCAGATAAGATCATAAGACTCTGATTAAGGATAGATTAAGAACCAATCATATAATATGAAATCATCGTTAAGACATTAAATTATAATTTTTATTAATTATAAATTATTTAACTTTCTTATTTCACTTAAATATTATATTCTAAGACAATTCATTCAATTTTCTTTCATCTCACATTTGTTATCTGTATAATAAATTTCTCAAGTAACATAATTTTTTTGTTCTAAATTATCATTTAAAATAATTTTAAATATGTTCATGAATTTATTTTAAATAATAATATAATTTAATTAATATCTAAATAAATTATATTTAAAATAAATTAAATTTTTTTATATTTGTAAAAACATTTTAAACTAAGATAAATATTTTAAAAATTATAAATAATTTTTTTAATTAATTAGATAATGTATACTTTTTATTATAAATATCATATATTTTAATATTTTTAATAAATAAATAATTTTTATTTTTTACATATTAGTTATGAATCGACGTTCATATGATAACTTATTTAGTTATCTTAGTTTAAAATAATTTAAATATAAAAAAATATTTTATTTAAATTTAAATTAAATTATATTGTTATTTCAAATAAATCTTTAAATATACTTTAAACTATTTTGAAGTATAATTTTTTTTTTTAAGTTATTACTTTTTATTTTGAATAACTTGTAAGAAATATTTAAAAAATGAAAAAAAACTTGATAATAACAAAGAGATAATATATATATATATATATATATATAATGAGTTATCTAATTTTAAATAATTATATATAAATATAATTTTTTATTAGGTGAGTATTGATGTTAGAATTTATTGAAACTCACACTATACTCTTAATTGCATAAAAGTAAATGTGTCTGTCAATGTAAGTATAATTATAGATTTGGATAATTCTTGTTATGAAATAATGAATATTATTATAATTATTATATTATTATAGTTAATAATATTTTTTATTTTATTAATAAAACAAATAATAATAAAATAATATAATTATAATTATTGATATTAATAAGATAAATATTCTTATTCTTATTATTATTATTTATTTTATTTTTAATAATAATAATAATAATACTAATAATAATTAATTTATAATAATTTAATTATTATATTTTAATAATTATTATAGTTATATTATAACTTATAATAATAATTTAATATATTTAGTTATTATCTATTTTATTTTTATATTTATATGTTTTTTAATAAAACTATATGTAGTAGCTTAAATTAATGTAAGAAATATCCTCATCAAATAACATATCAAATATTAGGGTTTTCTATATTTTATATA